GGAGGGAGAGATCTATTTTCCAAACTACTGCAGGGTGGGGAGTGGCAGAGTTTTTGAATTGAGTAACAAACCATGTGTTCTCATAGATAAAAACAAGCATATGTCCTCCCCCATGGAGATCATGAGGCAACTGGTTAGAGGCTGAAGATGAAGCAATCTGCATTGTTTGCTAGGCTGACAGGAGGACATGACTACAGTAAAGGATGAAGGTGATTTCTCCTATATGGTCTTCATTAGGCGAAATATGCTTTAAATTACACTGATTAATAGTCATGACATGTTTTTATTACAAGCCTTTTAGTATTATTTGACTTTTAAAACTATGTCTATGAATTGCTATGCTTAAAAAAAAATTTAAAAGCTAAAAATATGATAAAAGTTTTCACATATTCCACTGTTAGATTTTCTTTTTACCACTAGGATAATTATAGTTGTGAAGGTTTTACAAAGGAGACTCTTATGATAATCACTAGTACAACACAACCCTCCTTCCCCCAAGTGTGTATCTTATTAAAGGCAGGTGAATGGTACTGGGTTTTCATCTTAAGGACAGAAATCCACTGTCCGTACAATTACTTTCATTCTATAATGTTTAAAGTGCTTTTCAGCTACTAAAATAAAGAAGTTTATAATTTAATTAGAGTTTAAAACACTAAACTTTTAAATTCTTTTACATTTCTGGTTGGAAAATAGTACAATGCAGGCAACTTAGTGCTTCAGCTTTTAATAGCAAAAGAGGTTTAACTAGGGCTGGTAATACATTGCCCTCTGCTGGACACAGCACCACCAAAGACTTTTTCTGGGTTAAAATTTAACAGTAGATTCTTCTTTCTAATTTTCTCTACCAGATATCTCTGGAGATATGAAACTCCAGAGAGCTTATATTTCATGGATTCAGTACTTTACTTGCAGATTCATTAAAACAATACATTTTTGTCTGGTTTTTGATGGAGGAAAGAAAAGACAACATAGCACTATCAGAAACTATACCATGTATAGTGCAATTTGAGAAATATCTAAAATACTAAGACTTGTTTATCAGTTTCTTTTTTAAAAAATATCTTTATTGATTTCAGAGAGAGGAAGGGAGAAGAAGAGAGAGACAGAAACATCAATGAGAGAGAGTCATTGATCGGCTGCCTCCTGCACGCCCCCTACTGGGGATCGAGCCTGCAACCCGGGCCTGTGCCCTGAGTGGGAATCGAACTGCGAGCTCCTGGATCCTAGGTTGATGCTCAACCGCTGAGCTATGCCTGGCTGGGCCTAAGATTTGTTTAGAGTGATGCCTGAAACTAACTACTTCAAGTCTAATATATCTCCATCCATCAAAAGATTACCAACATGCAACCACCAACATGAAGGATTATCAATGAACGCTGAAACCCACTGGGTGAAAGGGAAACGATATATTCACAGTCCCAAAATATTACCCTCAGATTACTTCTCAATTACAAAGAGGAAAAAGTACCTTCACAGTGGGGAGTTGGCAGAAATGAATAAATTTCCAGATTTAAAACTAGAAACAGGTATATAGTGAGATACATTTTTGGTCACTGTACTCAAAACAATAAACCAGATTCTGACAGCAGCTAAGAATATGGGCTCTGAAGTTATACTACTTAGATTCAAATGGAGGCCCGACAATATACCAGTTATATTACCATTGGCAAGTTATTTGTCTTCTATGGACTTAAATCTTCTTTCCGGAAAATGATAGTAATAATGGTAACTATCTCAAAGATATTTTAAAATTAAATGAGTTTATATAAAAACCCTGCAGTGGCTTCAAGTATTATTATTATTACTAACAATTTTCTGAAAGTAGTTCTTAGGAAAGCTTGTTAGTTCAATACCCAGGGCTCTTAAAAAGAGAAAATAAATACAGACACTACCAGGTACAGGAGGTAAGACCATACACCAAACTCTTCCTTGTCTTCCTTTGCCACCTCTCTCTTCTCCCCCCTTGAATAAGTAAGGGTAGGAAGTGACATGGAGCAGGAGACTTAACCTCAAGACAATTCTATTTAGAAAAGCAAAAGAAGTGATTGGTAATAAAATGGCCAGGTATATGTGATATAGGATGCCTTTTAAATTCTCTGAATCTCATTGCAATTCAAGCCGTTGTTTCTCAGAGAATAGGTGTTTATGGTTTGTACCTGTGGTGATATGATGGCCTAAATTATTTTTAGAATTCTATCATCATGTTTTATTTTCAGAAATCTTTATTTGCTTTTGGCTTTTCAAAGAACCTGTAAAAAAAAAAGAACCATAGGCTCTAAAGCATAGTATGAATCAAACTTGAGTGAATCAAAGATGGTGAAATTCAAAATTTGCCTGTCCTCAGTTTTTTCGCCTCATCTAAACCGATGTTAAAGTTTCTTCTCTTCCTTCCCATGTGCTATCTAACAGCAACCTCTGGGGTCATTCTTAATTGTTATGACTGCCACCGACACCGCTACAGTGTCTCTGTGGTGGGCATTTCTAGAAGACAATGTCTCTCCAGGGCATTCCTCCCTATATGACAAGACAAAAGCCAAAGGTGAAGTGTAGTGAAACACTGATTAGCGGGCCCATTTAAGTCTTGTCATTACACCTTTCTTACAAAGCGAATCATTTTTCTGTACTATCAGAAATTTCCAAACTTTGGGCTGTAATTTCGGCTCTTTATAATAGTTCTTGAGGGAAATACTCCCATGGTTTGCCGAGAAACCAGCTCTTAGGAGCAAGATGAGGTTCTTCACGCCCCGATTACGGGTGGGATGGCCACAACGATAGCTGCTCATAGTAGGTGCTGAGAGCCTGAGAGCAGTGTAACGGGAGACAGGGCTGCGGCCAGATACCACATCCTGAAGACAGCAGGGTGCTCAGCAAGCCTTGAACAAACCACAGCTTTGAGTAACAGGTCTGCGCTTCGCTCCTAAAGGCAACCACGGGCTTGGGTGTGCACTGAATTGGATAAAAAAGGGCTTCTACTGCTCTCTCTCCTTTTGGAGAAATAAGTATCTTTTGAATGTGATGCTCTAATGTGGACTACGTAAGGCATGTCTCCTCTCACTGCGCACAGCCTCCCAATGCCCTGAGCTCCTGAAAAGGCCGACTGGAGCCAGTTTAGACACTAGCTTGGACAGCCTGAAATAACTGTCTAACTGAAGCACAGAGGTGCAGGTATAACTGAGTTGTCCTGCATCCTCTGGGTTCTGGCTCTGAGGGAAGTTAATAAGGGACTCTTAATCCTAACCTCAATAATCTACGTGAGGCGAAGCTCTTGTGCACCCCTGCTGCATCCAGCTCACCACGGATTGACCACAGGCCCGCCCTTTGAACCCATTCTTACTGTACCGCTCCGATGAATTCTGGAGTCAGGGTAAAAAACACAGTTGATACACAAGTATCTCAAAAGCAGGAAACTTAGCATAAGGCAGGACTTATATTTTGGGGAACTACTCTAACACCTCAAGGAGTAAATCATAAGGGTCAGAGTAGAACACTTAGAAGGCCAGTATTTGGCAGATGATATAGGAAGTAATTAGAAATGTTAGGCAAGAGCGTTTGAACTTGGATAATAAAAGCAGAACTCTGAAGAGAAGACGGATGGGAAAATGTACGAGAAAGAAAGAAAACTATTGGTGACCTGAATGTGAAGAGTCCAAGGGGCCACTTTTGCAGAGAACTTGTAATTCTTAAAATGCTTGCCTGATGAGTTATATTTTTGTTCTTCTAGTATTGTCTGACATCTAAGCTTTTCTACCAATTGCAGCATTTCCTAGTGTCTTAGATAAACAGAAATGAAAATTTCCTTATATTTCAATTAGGGAACTCAAAATCACTTAAATCATAAAGAATTTATACTGATATTGATGGGATAAAATTAGCTTCATGAAGTCTGAAGTTTTCAAAGATAGAAAAACTTTCTCATCATTGATGTTTCAACTCTTTCTCTCTCTCCCCCTTCCTCTCTCTGAAATCAATAAAGATGTTGAAATATATCTTTATTGATTTCAGAGAGAGGAAGGGAGAGGGAGAGAGAGAAACAAACAATGAGAGGCATGGATTGGCTGCCTCCTGCACAGCCCCTGCTGGGGATCGAGCCCAAAACCCGGGCATGTGCCCTGACCCAGAATTGAACTGTGACCTCCTGCATCCTAGGCTGATGCTTAACCGCTGAGCCATGACCGGCTGGGCTTTTTTTGCTGTTGTTGTTAAAGGCACTGCAGTGATGAGGTTTGTCTCGTTGATATTTCTATCTGTCTATCCCTCTCCCTTCCTCTCTCTCTAAAAATCAATAAAAACATATTTTAAAGAATAATGACACAAATTCCAGAGGCCAAATTACTCTGCCATCGATGGCCATGTAACCCTGGTTGAGTCACTGTTCTTAAACGATGGCAACCATTGCAAAGATAAACAGCAGCAAACAAAACTCACACACTAAGGTGGTTCTCACTTAGGTTTAGAGAGAAATATTAGCAAACACTAGGGAGGATTTATTCAATCAACATGAAAAAAGGTAAGCATTGGGGGTTGAGAAATGGCCAAGTACTTTTATTAATTTTAAATGAGGACTTACTGATAAGGTACTCAGGCTTCATGAAACTAGACTTCTGTTCCCATTCTCAGACTTTCACTGGTTTAACTTCCCAAGAAAGGGTAGTGTGTGTTGCAGGTGTGGTTCCCCAGCTGTATACACTTAGCTTTCACTTAGTTACTAGTTCAGGCTGGTGAAACAATTCTATACATAAAACTAGCTTCACAATTCTTTATAGCATAATATAACTATTCATTTTTTGCAAGGCATATTTGGTCTTCAGATTCTAACACTTTCTAGGATTCCCCAAATCCATTATGAGCTGCTCCAAACCAACTTTAAATCTGAATGGAGGCAGCACAGGGCAATTCAAAGTTGAATGAGCTGGTTCTCAGTAACCAAGCTGGGACCCAAACCCCTGGGTGCGGTCTGTGCTTACAGTGTGCTGCGATAGGCCTCACTTCTTTATCTTGAAAAAGAAGGGCTTATATCCATAGGTGATCATGAAATTCTATTCTAGCACTACGATATTTGATTCTAGTGAGCTTCTCTCAGTAAGAAAACTTTGAGTTTTGTTTCCCTTTATTCTTGGTAAAGATGAATTGCAAATAAGCCATCCACAGATGATTTTACAGGTAAGTTTGTACCAATATTTTCTTGGGTCAATATGGAATGGTTCCCTCTACCACTGTGTTGTATAAAACTAACTACCCATGGGGATTAAACCTTTGAACTTCAATCAAGCATGCTAATAAAGCCAGCTGACGTGTAAGTGGGTCATAAAATAATCACATGGAAGCACGGTATATATATGGTCCACCAACTTCCTCTTGCTACAGAAATAGAGATATTAGGGTTTTTTTTGTGAGGGGAAGGTAGTTGCTACATTTACTACAACTATTGAATTTCGACAACTGCTTTAATTCCTTTTTTTTTTTTTTTACCACTGTCGTCGGTATCATGCAAGAATCTCTTCATACTGACAAAAACTGAAGGATACTGAAAGAGTGATGACCAGAGAACTTTAAGTCTGAAGTTTAGCATCACCACCCTGAACAACAGAGTCTTGGTTTGCATAAATTACTTTACAGGTAAGACGGATCACTTACTTTTAACTTAGAAGTTAACTCTGTAAAAATTCTAACAAATCTAAAATGTTTAAATTTTGAAGACGGATCATCAAGAAAGGTAGTCAGCATATTAATTATGTAATCATTAGTAACTAAAGTTAGAGTTGTAGAACTTTTTTCATTTGTCCGATTAGCAGAGAGACACTGTGTACCTGACTCAAGACAGACACTATACCGAGGGGAATGCAGACTTGTAGACACTTTCTGGAGAGCAATTCTGTATATATAAGATGTGATTTTCATTTGATTTCTTAAGCTCAACAGTATTTTCCAAAGTTTAGAAAATGATTATCCAGTAGTTTTATAATCAAACTTTATTTTTAAAGGAGAGGTACACAGTATATACAAGTTTGATGTTTGGGAAGCTAAAGATGTGAACTAGTTGTCATTTGTTACACTGAAGTTCTAGAGTCTCAGTGTCGTCCGTCTCATAATGCTAGATTCTGTGAAAGTTGTTTACACCTTCCTTCTGTTCTGAAGCATATGCTAGTGTGAAACAGAAAAGCAAGGCAATGGTAATGAGTAATATGAGATATCAGATGCTGTATGAGGTGGTCTACTTAAAAAAAGAAATACTACCTATTAATACAGAAACACTATTATGTGTACAGATTTTAGTATATAATGTATTATCTACACAAGGCAGGGGGTTAGTGTTTTTCTTTACTATCATCATAAAAGCAAGCTCTATTCCTTATGGAAAATAAAAACTACTTTGATTAGATAAATTTTTCTTAAGAAATAAACTGGCTTATTTCGCTTTCGAATCGACCGATTTGTTACTGTTTAGGTTTTATATAATTACAACAAGCCACTGTTTTATACACTAACTGCAACCAGATTCCAATTTGCCAGGTGGCAGTGGATTCAGATACACTAACTGTGAAGCACATGGACTATTCTCTAAATAAAAATTGCAAGTAAACAAAATAAAAGACAAAGACATTGGTAGACATTAATTAAGTGTCTCAGTATAATAACCTAAAGACACTGCACAGCCCTCAAGCTTTCAAGTCTTTAGGTGGGTATTATTTCATTTCAAAATTATAAAGGGTTTTTTTTCAAATATACTATTTCTGTAATCCAAGAGGCAAAAATATAACCATGATTCTAAAGAGGGATGGAGAACAAAATAGCCCTGAGGGGCTGGGAGGCGTATAAGAATCTCAGAAGGCAGTGTATGGTAAGGATTATGTTTATCAAAAGAGAGAATATGGTTATAAAAATAAGAGTGAGAACCCCCATCCTAGATTACAAAAGAACGAAGAATGTGGTGCCTAGAAAGTTATGGTGAAAAACACAAAGAAACGTCGCTCATTCTGAATAGAGCTCATGATCCTTATCTGACCCAAAGAAATGAGGATATGGAAAAAATAAGAATGACAATTTGTATGTGACTCTTCAACCCTTCATGTGTACTCTTTGAAGAAAGATTTAAAAATAAGACATAAAAAAGCAAAAATAACACCTGCATTTATGCTATGATTAAAACAGCTTCTAAGAAACATCATATTCTTTGAAAACCCAAGATACTCAATGACACACAAAGACACATGAGGGCGCTCTAACCAACAAGCACAGCAACTACAGTTTTGACACAGAATTTGAAATTAAACTTTTCATTTAAGTATAACAGCTTAGCATTAAATATTTGAGATAAGAAATTTCTGATGACCTTTGGTAAAGACCCTGGGATTTTGGTGTTTATCCTTAGTTACTACACTTTCTTTCTGTTCAATTCAGACCCTTGTCTGAGTATTTGTTTATGTGGAATTATGAAAAGAGACTCTTCTGATAGTATTAGATTATGGAGAAGTGCTTTAACCTACCCATGAAAAGACACCATTTTGAAAAGTATTTGTGTACAATTAAGATGATAATTAAAGATCAGTCTTCTCTCTATTAATGTGCCCACAAAATGCTTTTGCAATACTTTCCTTTGGCCAGTATGTATTGCTTGAATGCACCTTAAAATTTTTAAAATTACCTTTCTAGGCAAAAATCAATTGTTTTTTTACAAATTGCTTTACAATCAATATAAGGACTATAAATTCCTCCAGTATAAAGTGATAAAACTCAGGTATTTAACTATTTGTACCAAATTTTGTTTTTTAGACAGAGGCACTTTCCACAACAATCAACTTTTTTGCTTTTATTTCAACTGGACAACTGTGATCAGAAAAGGTGAGAAGGCACCTATACTTTCTCTTTCCATCCAATATATTTATGTTACTATTTTATCCAATGCTTTTTAAAACATAAAACCACCATTCACCTTCTATAATTTTAATATTAAATATGGCGGGGGGCAGAGGGATGGGTGCAGGTGGAAGACGGTATAAGGGGAATAAAAGTTTAAAATAATATCTGCAATTCTGTTCTAGCTCTTGCGACAAAATTCAAGAAAATCTGATATAAATGAGTAACAACTCGACATGTATTCGACCATCCATGATCTCTTCCATGGCTTTACCAATCATTTATATCTTCCTTTGTATCATTGGCCTCTTTGGAAATTTTCTCTCTCAATGGGTATTTTTAACAAAAATAGGTAAGAAAACATCAACTCACATCTACCTAGCACATCTTGTGACTGCAAACTTACTTGTGTGCAGTGCCATGCCTTTCATGGGTACCTATTTCCTGAGAGGTTTTCAATGGGAGTATCGATCAACACAATGCAGGGTGGTGAATTTTTTGGGAACGCTATCCATGCACGTAAGCATGTTTGTCAGCCTCTTAATTTTAAGTTGGATTGCCATAAGCCGCTATGCCACCTTAATGAAAAAGGACTCTACGCAAGAGACCACTTCGTGCTACGAGAAAATATTTTATGGCCATTTACTGAAAAAATTCCGCCAGCCCAACTTCGCTAAAAAACTATGTGTTTACATATGGGGAGTTGTACTAGGCATAATTATTCCAGTTATCATATACTACTCAGCCGTAGAGGCTGCGGAAGGAGAAGAGATCCTGTGCTACAACCGGAAGATGGAACTAGGGGCCATGATTTCTCAGGTTGCAGGCCTCATCGGAACCACGTTTATCGGATTTTCATTTTTAGTCGTGCTAACATCATACTACTCTTTTGTCAGCCATCTGAGAAAAATAAGGACCTGTACATCCATTTTGGAGAAAGATTTAACTTACACTTCTGTGAGAAGGCATCTTCTGGTCATCCAGATTCTCTTGATAGTTTGTTTCCTCCCATATAGCATTTTTAAGCCCATTTTTTATGTTCTACACCAAACAGATAACTGTAAACAACTGAATTATTTGATAGAAATAAAAAACATCCTCACCTGTCTTGCATCAGCCAGAAGTAGCACAGACCCCATTATATTTCTTTTTTTGGATAAAACGTTCAAGAAGACAATATATAATCTCTTTTCAAAATCTGATTCAACACGTATGCAACCCTGTGGTTGACTTCTGAATGGAAAACACCACCAAAGAGAAAAGTGTTCATACGACTCTATTGGGAACACGAAACTGCATGATCAACAGGTCATCACTTGGCTGGTAACAGGCACCGAGAAAACCTCTTTGGTTTAATTTATACTGAAGGTTGAGATGACAGAGACTTTCAGAGGCCAAAGTAAGCATATTGAAAGGATCCTACTGCAAATGAAATCAACAGGCCATTTTCTACTTAAACTCAACTGTGGATGCTTCTGTTCATAACACAGCATTTCATGACTGTGTTATGCATTTCAAGATGCAAACGGTGTACGACTTTTCTGCTTTCTAGTAGCTTGAATACAAGGGCCCCTCTATGGATAGTGTTTCACTGGTAACTTTAAAAATGAGTAAAAGAAAAAAGTGAGTATGAAATTTCTTCACTTAAGTCCTATCTAAATGTATGAATGATATAGTGTAAGAATCCAAGGTATTAAAACACGTTATTTATTTGGTATCATCTGGCTCACGTTACAAGAAGCAGTATTCGTTGATTTTAGTATTTATTAAGAAGTTGTTATTTATAAATACGCTTAAATATTTGGATTAGGCTTTGTTAAAATAAAAAGGGAATACAACATCATTATATGTCAATCTCCATCACATTTTTTGTATTTCCTCTGCATTTAATAGAAATAATGTTGTTATTAATGACAAACAGTCCTGGCACGTAGATATGTTCAATTAATTTGTGAAATGAATGAATGAGTGATAAGGCAGTGTAACAGCATCACTGTTGAGAGACTGGTGTCTGGAGTCCCTGGGTTCATTCTTAGCCCCATTTCTTATTTAGCTGGACAGCTGTAGGCAACCTACCCGCTTTAAGTATTGATTTCTTCCTTTGTAGAATAGAAAAATACTACACAATTCATAGGTACTATTATTAAATCAGATGATGTTACCATTAATGAGTAGCTACCTTTACTAACCACTTGCTATGTGCCAGGCATTCTTCTTATATGCTTTACATTTATTATTTTAATTATCACAACCCTAAAGTATGTCAATTTGCTAATGAAAAACTAAAGTGCACAGTTAAGTAAGTTGCCCAAATTTTCTCCAATGTCTAAGTAAATATTTAAAGACTAAGCATTTCTTAACGGTCATTTCTTTCTTCCATGTAATCTTGTCAGCAAGTCAAATGATGGTGACTATATTCTGTATTATATATGTTATAATAATTATTTTTAAAAAATCTATGTTTTATCTTCCCAAAGAGATCATAAGCACCTTTGGAGCTGTAGTGTGTTTTCTATTTCTACTCCCATGGTACTTGCATTCTCTGTTCAGATAAGAACCAAACAAAAAGTTGAATAAAAATGAAGTTGAATATACATTAATTTCAACCTGTTACTTAGTGACTGCTTAAAGACTCATTTATTCTCTACATAGTAATTTCTTCACTGCTCAGAAAGAAGTTTCAAGTAAGTTCACACAGCACTTCCAAGACTTTAAACTTACAGCAAGTTTTGTTCCTGAATTAAAAAATGTAGAAACAATTTGCTGTACAGAGTCCCCAAGGGCCATGTGATCAATATCACTAGAGCTTTTCCCAACACATCTGCATACTTTTAATTTAAAAAGCATAGAAAATAAACAGTAATTTTTTTTCTCCTTTTTTACTTCAATGCTTAATTGAGAGAAGAAAATGTTGAGAGAAAAGGCTGAAAAAAACACATGCTGGCTTTGAATGTTTACGTCTATTCTTTTATAGTAGCAATCTGATTTCTGGCCGATTAATTTGCAGAGACAAAGGCAGACGTGGGAATTGCAGGTGACTCCCTGAGTGCTGGCTGTAAACAGAGGTGTCCAAGCTAGTAACTTATAGACACAATCAAAGAGTAGTGCAAAGCTGACCAGGAGAGTTCCTGAGACACACAGCTCTTCACAGTTACACCAGGAGTTTTATTCTTATACAAGTTTTCAAACCAAAACTCATTAGATTAAGAAGAGCTGAGATTTTCAATAGTTTTCATTTAACATAAGCTATACTGTATTAAATCTCACTGCACTTAGGATTTGAAATATATATATCTTCTACAAATCATTATTTTAAAAAGTCACTTTACATTGCTACTACTTTAAAGAAAACATAAAAGATATTGACAAAACAGTTCCCTACATTTAAAACAGGCACAAATAGTTATGCTATTTCTCTTTAAGTTGCTCATTCGGACAGAAAACCCCTATTTAATTCTCTGTACTGAGCATATTAAATTCACCATGTTTACCTTTACACCATAGATGCTTTCCTAAACAGGTGATTGCAAATCACGTTGAATTTTTTGTGTAACTGAAGAATTGGCAAATATTTTATATGAAATAATCACTTTCTAAACTTACCCTAACTTTAAAGTGTGCATTTGAGAAAAATAGTGTTTTTAATGTGCCTGTGAGTTATAGTCGAACAATTTCAGAAACCCCACATTTTGATTTAGGGCAACAAGATTTTGTCTTAAAACAGGCCACGACAAATGTTTATTTCCCCTTTTATCCTTTCCATAGACATACCTCTCATTAAGGCAAACTTTCAAACTATGAATCAGGAACACAAACCATTAAGACTAGACAAGTAAATTTAAGATAGAATACTCAAGCTGGAAGCGAGTTTCTACTCCCTGGGTAGAAGAAAAAATGCCCATCCCATTCTGATTTGGTAAGGACCCCCGTGGTCTATCCTTGGGCCTGCAGGCTGCAGGGTGGAAGATGTTATGACAAATGTGGGAAGATAAGCTAAAAGGAGATCTTGCTTGGCAAACCACAAGGGGAGCACAGAGGGACACTGGCCATATGCCAAGCACTTCAATCATGCAGCCTAATGCTGTGGACCTTCCTCAGATCGCCTCCAAAGTCAAACTGAACTGATATTAGAGGGAGGAGTTCCTACAGCTAGAAAGGTTAGACACTGAGGAAAACTCGCTTCGGCTGTATCATACATGCTTGCTGCCCCTGGCTCAGAAGGAGCAGCATGCGAAAGGATTCACATTTGATAAGCAAAAGAAACAGTCCTTCTTTTCTTTAGAAATCAAGGAGTTGACTGGTTTTGAAGGCTGGGGTAGGAGAAGAGAAGCATAACAGTTAGGCGGGGGTGGGGAGAGATTAACCAAAGAATGTATACACATATCTGCACAACCCATGGACACAGACAATAGTGTGGAGAAGGCCTGGGGGTGGGGCGGGGTGGAGGGGCTCAGTGGGGAAAAACGGGAGACATCTGTAATACTTTCAACAATAAAGATAATTTTTAAAAAAAGAAATACAAGGTAAATTTAAGATGATTTTATAATTCATGAGGCTTTCCAAAGTACAATTATTAAAGCCCCACATTCAAACTGAACATGCATATTATGCTCAACAACCTTCCAAAAGGAAATGCAGATGATTACCCAGAGTGCTTTTTTATGATACCGGGCGGGGACTTTTGGGAGCTGTGGTAAGGGATGTAAAAGAAACGTCAACAACTGAGAGCAATAGAGGAAGAGCTACTATAAGAAATCCACAATGCCATGGCAACCAGTACGATATGATGAACGCCCATCTATAAGAAAGTCTGGCAGGAGCAGGTGAAAGGAGAACTGAGACGAGAAGGGGACCAGAGAGCAGCCAGGCGTGTGCATGGGTTAGCGAGGAAAACCATTTAAGGGAAGCGTATGAAGAAATGCTGGGCGGAGGCTTCTGGCTGTGTCTGTGTGATTGGGGTTTTTGCACAGTTCTGAGAATTAAAAACTGAGTCCCCAAACCTCCTGGACACAGGCCCCACTCAGAATAGACAGCGATTGTGTGTAGCAGTCTGCATTTAGAGAAGCTGCTGAACTTCAACTTTAGTTATTAAAATTGTGCATCAGTAGGTCAAAGCCACAGAAAGGTGTGAGGATTTCTTGCCTCCCCACACCCTGGTGATGCACTGAGAGGCTGTTTCCAGGAGTTAGGAGAGACCAAAGAACCCCACCAATGCTACGTGCTTAACAGAACCAATGCAGGCACGGCAAGGAGCCAGGAGCTGCATTTACTTTGACAACTGTACCATTTCATTCTAAAGCACTTTTAATTTAGGGGTGAGAGGAAGGAAAGAGAAAAACATTGAAACATAATGAAAGTGTTCACATCCTTTCACAAGAAAAGGAGTTGAATAAAAGAGGTGACAGAAAAAATATAGGAATTTTCACGCATGTGTTAATGAATGCCTGTAGGGGTCCTTTCCCCCCCAGTTTTATGTGAAATTGCTTCTCCAACAGCAAGCCATTTCCACTACAGGTCATGCGGCATCATAAACTCAAATTTAACTTGATATAACAAAAATTTTTACTCAGTTATGATGATTTCAAAAAGAAATGCCAACTGAGTAAAGAAAAAAACATTATTAATCAAAATAATGCTAGGATCTTTGGTAAACCTAATGCTTTCAGATCAATGCCAAGAGTTATGAGAAGGGGGAGAGAGAGAGACAGGAGGAGAGAGAGTGGGAAGATGGGGAGGGAGAGGGAGAAGGAAGGAGGGAGAGACTGAGAATAATCTTGGCTAGATATAACAGGTGATTAAATAATCTAAATTTTCTAAAAGGAATGAAACATTGCTCTTCTATTTTCTTTACTAAGTACAAGGAAAGAAAACTTCAATAAAAACTTTAACTACAAAAAAACCAAAATCTACATACAAATGAAATCTACATACATTCAAGTCATTGACTATATATCTGAATGTGAAGAAAAGCTAATAGGCTGTTTTATTAGCAAAAACATTAACATATCAAATGAAATTTTAAATTATTAGCCATGTGAAATGTTCTGTTATTAAAGTTTTATAATGACCACTACGTTGGAAAACCCCTATAACAAGGTCCTGAATAAAACTACTTCAGGCTAAGTTACCAACATTATATTAGCAGATCCTGTTGACACAACCTTCAAAATATACCTGGAGTCTATTTCTTTACCACCTCCAGTGCTACCACTCCAGTTGGGCTCCTGTTTCCTTGCTTCCACCCCTGAGGCCCTATTCAATGTAGTATCAACAAAGGAATGTACACTTGACCCTTGAACAACACAGGTTTGAACGGCGCCGGTCTGCTTACAGAATTTTTTAAAATAAGTACAGTAGGCCCTTCTGTATCCAAGGGTTTCGCCAACAATTGAAACAGTTTGTATTTCCAACTGGGGTTTCCCAACTGTGGATCAAAAATTTGTTTTCAATCCATGGTTGGTTGAATCCATGGATGCAAAGGGCTAACTGTAGAGTCAAGTCATACCTGGATTTTTGACTGTGCTGGGGAGTGGGTAGGGTCAGTGCCCCTAACCTCCACAGGCCAATTATGCTCCCACGGTAGTGCCTTCGCAGTGGCTTTTCCTTTTAGCGAGGACACGCTTCCTTCCGTATCAGTTAGCCCACTGTCTCTTCTCCTTGGAGTCCTTACTCAGATGTCATCTTCTCAATGTGGCTTGCTTTGATCACCCTATTTAACCTGTAGCTCTTTCTCTAGCAGGCCCTATTCCTTTGGCTACTCTATTTTTTCTGCAGCCCTTTCCACCTTCTAACCTACTATGTAGCTGACTTATTTATGCTCATGGACTAGTGTCTGTCTCCCTGAACTAGAAGTCAGCGCATGGGGGCAGTGATTATCTTCTGTTTTATTCACTACGTAGCTCCAGTTCCTAGAATAGTGTCTGACACACAGTAGGCACTCAATACGTATTTTCTGGATGAATGTCTTAAGAAAAATACACCCAAATTCAAAATTACCAAGTAGCTAAATGTGAGTATTCCATTTACCCATGCACAATGTATAAATTTCAGGAACCCAAACATAGAGAATATCATTAATATGTTCTTTGTAGTTTGAGAATTACTTTGCTCTTCCCTTCCTAAGAATGTTTTTGGGTGCTTCCTCAAAATTATTTGGTATGTACCTTGAGATAATAAACTAACTTAATAAAACCCAATGTTAATCTTGAGCCTTTGCACACACTGATCCTTTTGCTGGAAATGTCTCTTGTCTCCGTGTAACTACCCCATGACTCAAGACCAGGCTCAAATGTGACCTCCTCCATGAAGCTTCTCTGACTTTATCTTTTAATGATATTTCCCACCTTCTACCTTGGACAATAATTATTTGTTTTGCCTGTCTGTGAAGATGGCCACAGACAAGTTTTCCTATCCTTGTGTATATATGCTGCTCCTGTGACCAAAAGTGCAGTCTGTTTTCCTCCTCTTGAATCCAGGCTAGCCTTGTGACTTTTTGACTAATAGAAGGTAGGACAAGACACCATGCCAATTTTGGGCCAAGGCTTCAAGGGGCCTGGCAACTTCCATTTTTGCTCTTTTGGAGGTAGAGAGAGAGAGAGATATGCTGTGAATGAGAGACTATGAAGCAGGCCCAGAGAGAGAGAAAGAGAGAGAGATGTCGTGAATGAGAGACTATGAAGTGGGACTAGCCAGCTCCCAGCTGTTCTAGTCACTTCAGCTGAGATGCCAGAAAAGTGAGCAAAGCCTTCATGGATACTAGCTGTGCTGCCCCAGCCAACAGCCTGTGAAACAGAATCGAGGAGGCCCCATCAAGCTCTGTCCAAACTGCATAACTGTGAGCAAAAGAATGACGTCACTGAGTTTTGGTTTGAAGTCACTGAGTTTTGGTTTGTGTTGATCTACAGCAGAAAGTAATAGATTTAGTAAGACCTTAATAGCTTTAGGGCTCCAAGTGCAGTATTCTGCATGAAGTATGTGCCCAAATATTTGAATAAATCAATCAGAATGTAAATGAGAAGGTGAAGCCAAATATAACTACTTTGGGATTTTATTTAGTTTTAGGTTGTCATGATATCAAATGCCATGGCGAATCAAAAGCTGACTATATTGATGAAAGTATTACAGTAGAGTATGTTGTCAATCATTATCTATTATATGATGTTGATATAATTAGCTTTCAAGAACAGAATTCAAAATAAAATTGCCTCTTGAGCAAAGGCATTTTTAACACAATGCTATTTATGTGAACAGAGAATCTGTTTTACCCATTTAAGTTTTCAAATGGTCATTTTTGTCTTGTATATGTTTTATATATACACAAAGAGATATATCCTACTTTGTATATACACACTTTCTGGTATTAATTAAATGCAAAAGAATAACAGGGCTACCACCGTGGAGACTCTCCCTCCTCTATCCTCCCACACTTCTCATGCTCTTTGTATAACCGAAGGGCATTGCCTGTTGATAATAACAGTACCATCTTCCTATCACCACATTTGAAAAGCATAAAGGAGATATTTCACAACTAATTTTACACTAATGTGTATTTTGTACATTTCTCCAATGAGTTTTCATTTGCTATTATAACATGCTACTAGATTGTTTTGGAATTGCTTATGCTTTTCCTCAGCTTTTAACACAAGAGTTTCAGTTAAAATTTCCCAAACATTGTAGGAAATTTAACTCTACTTGATTTTCTTAACCATTAAATACATGGAAGAAACCAGGCCTTTGATAATATGTCTTGAGGGAAGAAGAATACCACGTCTGTGGATGCTGTGGGTTAGAGAGAGAGGCCCATGACAAAATAGCAGAGCACTGAAAGTGGACAAGAGGGCCAAAGAGACCTCAGACGCTTTTAGTGATTCAACACCTTAGAAGGGGTTGGGGTTCAGGAGAAAGGCCCACTGGTCTCCTTTCTTGCATGTTTCCATGTTCTGCCTGACACTGTTAGGAGCCAGAGACTGACAAGTCTCATGAACCTGTTACTGGGATCAAACATGCAGAAAGACTGAGTAATGGTGCTATCCATATGCCAAAGGGTACACACACTGTATTACATCCATAATTATGATTTCAGACTATTTTTTAAAAACTACCTGCAAAGAAAATAAAATGCTATTTAACATTGCAACGTTACAAAAATATAGGTGTATGATGAACTTTTACTATATAAACCAAATTCTCATTCCCCTCCCCCTCAATTAACTTAGCAAAGAATGCCCAGCTGGGCGTGGCTCAGCGGTTGAGCACTGACCTAGGATCCAGGAGATCGGGGTTCGATTCCCAGTCAGGGCACATGCCAGGGTTGCGGGCTCAATCCCCAGTAGGGGGTGTGTGGGAGGCAGCCGATCAATGACTCTCATCACTGGTGTTTCTCTCTCTCTCTCCCTCTCCCTTCCTCTCTCTGAAATCAGTAAAGATATATTTAGGGGAAAAAAAATTACTTAGCACAGAATATTGTTTGCTTTTTTTCTATTTGTTGGTTTTTTTTTTTGTTCCTTTCACACATACATGATAGTAAAAGAATAACAGAATTTTAGACTGCATGTACATTTTAACAAAAATAAGGAAACAAATGATAAGAAGTGCTGCTTTAAGAATTAGTATAGTGATTCCACAAATATAAAGCAGTTAGGTAAGAATATTAAAGAAATGATCAGAAATTTAAGTCAGTTTCTCTTCACAAATGTTAAAATTGGTAATAAAAGTGACTTACCTTGCCTGGCCAGCGTGGCTCAGTGGTTGAGCATTGACCTAGGATCCAGGAGATGGCAGTTTGATTCCCAGTCAGGGCACATGCCCGGGTTGTGGGCTTGATCCCCAGTCGGGGGCGTGCAGGAGGCAGCCGATCAGTGGCTCTCTCTCATCATTGATGTTTCTGTCTCTCCCTCTCCCTTCCTCTCTCTGAAATCAATGAAGATTTATTTAAAAAAGAAAACAAAAGAAAAAGAAGTGACTTACCTTCACATCCCTGTGAATTATGTTATTATCATGACAATAGCGTAGAGCTTCCAGTATCTGTCTCATGTAATGACTGTAGAGAAACAAAAGAAATATAAAACTGTAAAAAACCTTTTATTTTTGAAACTTAATACACATTTGTCCCTAGTTGGTAACTCCCACCTTCATATTCGCTGCTGATGGACACTTTTCACTTGAGTAGAGAAGACTGGTGGATTGTGAGGCTGAATAATGAAATGTTGGCAGACTCATAAGCCTATGAGCTTTATGAAGAAATCACGTGTTCTATATTTTCTAAGATAACTAAGTCAAAAGAATTTCACATAGTTCGTAAGTGAAACAGCTTTGCAAACTAAAAATTCAAGCTTGAAACATGAAAAACTCTCTAACTATTTTCTGACTCTCAGTTAATACTACTTTGTTACAGTGGATTGCTATTAAGTGAACAGTGAGTGCTTAGAGGGACCAGAGGACTAAAAGGTTGTGAGCCTTTTGCCTGCCAGCAGAGGCTGGCTCTCGGCCTTATTTCCATTTAGTTCTACGGGGGGATTTAACATGAGGGGAGAATCTCTTTATGCCTACAATTTCTTTTTGCAACATTATCAAGTTTTTAATTGGGGCATCCTTGACCAAAGCAGGGCTTTACTGGGCCTAAGTCCTAGGAAGTCAGACTCCTCACGTGGCGAACAGGGGTCGGCTAAGGCTCCCCACCGGGTCCAGGAGGAGTTAGCAGCAGGAAGAACAGTCCTTAAGAAGTGGTAACAGGATCCACTAGCAACAGGATGTGACAAGAGGATGTGGAAAGTATGAAATGTACCAGTTCTGTAGGGCTTTATGCTATTGTTGAACTGTTCAGCTTGAATATGTGCATTTGGTCTTTGCACACCCAGTAGGTGTGCCTCCAGGTAACAGGAAGAGCATCGAACACAGACAGGGATCTGACTCGCCTCCCGCCATTCTGAAGTTCTTCTGTAACCCTGCTATTCTTTTTGAGTCTTTTCCATCTTCTCTCTATTTTCACTCCCTTCATTCTTTCTGTTTTCCTATCATCCCTCCTCCTTTCTTATTTTCCCCTTTATCTTCCTCAACCAGCCACGACACAGAAATGCTATATACTCAACATTATTTACCGTATAGTGTTTACTGGATTTTTATTATCTTTCCAGATCTTATATTCCCCGCCCTTTAAAATAAAAAAGAAATAGTTTAATAGTACTCACAAATGACCTTGTGTGTGCGCTTGTGACTTGACCAAAAAATAAAAATAAAAAAAAATCCCCACTGCTGCTTTAAATTAAAATAGACTTTGCCATCAAGTTCCTCTTTGGTTGGTATTATCTACCAAACTCATAGGAATGTCCCTCTAATTAAACATATGCATTAGTTCATGCATTACAGTTGATCAGGAGGTTCCATTTTAAAAAAGGCAGGAAAACACACAAATCTAGACTTGGTTCCTATACTTCTTGTCTCCTCATAAGTGGGCTCTAAGCAGAGAGCTAGGCCCATGCAGTCCTTAGATGTTCCATTTCTCTTACTTTGCAAATGTGCACATAAGGAGCTGTGTTCACATACTCTTTGCCTGGGTCAGTGCAGCCTGTAATTAAGTTTCTATTTGAGTTAGGGGTTCTTAACTTGGTGTTGTGACCCTTTCCTGGTCCAAATCAGGCTTTGGAGGATCTGTGACCCCCTCAAATGGAAGACGCAACAAATGTGGAAGTGCTTTGTGAACTTTAAACCATGCTACAAAGGTGAAGTCATTATTATCACAATAGCACTATTATTGTTAAATTTAGTCAAAGATTTAGAAACAGCCTATTTGTGCACCCAGATGTGAACACAGCTTATACTACACTATGGACTACTTTGGATATATGGTACTAACAGAGATGCTTATATCTTTGGCCTAAAGAAAATTCCTGTCTCAAAGTCTCATGAAAAAAAACCCCTCACTAAATGAGTATTTTAAAATCTGAAAATTGGAGTATTCAATGATTTGACCCAAATATCATACATATCAGAATCTCTGGGGTGTGTATGTGTGGGGTATAATTGTTTTCTCCTCAGACATAAAAGGTTTAAACTGATCTTTCTCCACCTTCCCAGTCATGACCCGGGCAAGCTCTGCATGGGAACAGTGTATAAGCAAGCGGAATAAAGAGAGAACCAAAATCCACCCACATGTTCTAGAGAGTTCCTGACAAAACTTTAATCAAAGAGCTCCAATTCATGAAGCATCATGGTGGCCTGTACTTTCAGAGGGGCTCAGCAATACATGTTTGTCTCCATCTTCCCTAAGGATCAGGAATGCTGAGAACTCTGAGGAAGCAAAGGGTTGGCCAGCAATCCACTCACTTCCTTTGGATGGAGGGATTTCATGGGTGGGGGTGGGAGAAGAAGAAAAGAGAGGCGACTCAGTCTACTTTCTTTGTCAACTCCGGGTAAAAAGATTAATGCTCTCTGATAGGCAGGAGAGAACTTACCTCTGAAAGGCCCTTAATTAAGGATTACCTGTGGTAAAGAGAACCCAGGCTCTTTGAGGCTTGGATGGCTTCCTGGAGGATGTCATGTAAGTTATACAACCCCCTGGGTATACAATGGAGAGGTTTCATATTGAAATGCTCCCTTCTGCATGTGTAATCCCACAAACCTCATGTAGAGACCTCATCTCTTCTGGGCCAGAGGTGCATTTCTGATGTGGGAAGGAATAACACGGGAAGCTGCCCTTAAAGGTCCGGATCTCTTTCTGCTTCAGCTGAGCCTTTGCCTGTATCCTTATAATTATTTAGTAAAGCTTGATACTAAGTAAGAAGATCTCCCTGATTTGTAAGACTATGATTCATAATTTGATCCTGTATGTTAGCCTACTCCATAACTCATCACCCCTGAAAGAACAGAGGTAATCACTAATTGGGTTGTAAGGACTGAACAGTTTTATTTTAGCCATGCTTTGCTGCTCCTCTTGAAGTTCAGCCAGTTGGAGAAAAACAACATTATCAATTTGATTACTTGGTGTCTCAGAGTCTTGCAGTTGGTCTCACTAGAATACTGATGTAAGCTAAATTTCCCATTAATGAATCACAGAATCAGAGAAGAAGGAACATTAGAAGTCATCTGGTTTAACACTCTAACCAAAAGGAAGGACGCATGTGCCCTTGTTACATGGTCATTGATCCTCTGTAATAGGGAACATACCTAATAACACTTTCTAAGGCTGCCCCCCCCTTGTCATTTTTTAGGAAGGATTTTTAATAAATTGTGTCAAACCTCTCTTTTTGAGGTGTCGCTTGCTGGTCCTAAAGCTACTCTTTTTTGGCCATTATGAAAAATTCCTTTCATTAAATTACCACTTCAACAGAAAACATAGGTAGATTTTAAAACCAACAGGCTTTCGCCCGGTCGGGCGTGGCTCAGCGATTCAGCATCGACCTAGGATCCAGGCGATCGGGGTTCGATTCCCGATTGGGGCACATGCCCAGGTTGTGGGCTCGATCAATGACTCTCGTCATTGATGTTTCTATCTCTCTCTCTCCCCCTCCTTTCCTCTCTCTGAAATCAATAAAGATATATTTAAAACCAACAGGCTTTCATCTTGATGTATATAAACATCTACTTTTTCTATAAATCTTGAGATTAGGAGAGACTGCAAGTCACTTCACTGTATGACATCACCTCTATACACTACTATTCTCCCTATCCTGACACCCAGTCCAGTGGCAGGGACGAGCCTGAAGTTAAGGAAAAGCAATATGGATGAGTGGGAACAGAGTAAAAGTGGTACTGGTTTAACATCAACCCTGCCAACATATGTGCCAGGTACCCAGTGTTAATGTGGTTAAAAAAGGAAAAGGTCATCTTCCTCCATCGAACCTCACTATTTTATAAAACCAACAATCAGAATTTTTAGTTTTTCCTACTTGATGCTGCTGTTGAAAGATATCAACACAGGCAAGTACAAAATGCAAGTTGCCTCAAATTCTTGAAGAAATAAATATAAACAACAATTTGCAAAAGTCTGAGAGTTTCATATAGTCAAATAAAGTAATATACCACTATTGTCAAAAGAAAAATCAAGATGGCATTGACTATTTCTGGTATTAAAAATGCTTTTTAATTCTGAAGCATAATAAAGAACACAAACTGAAAGTTATAAGAACTCAAAATAATAGAAAAATGGGATTAAAAAACCCTAGAATGTGTTTGAACGACCATGGCACAAAAGAAAAGAGGATATTTAGCCTGAGTTCTACCATGAATATGTCAGGAGTTTAAAGAAGTAATTATAATGTATATAAATTTTCACTTGCTTCTTTTCCCTAACTCCAGTTATACAAAACAGCAGTTATCCCAAATTAAGTATATTCTTTATCTTGTGCTACAGCTATGGCTGCTCCACCTTCTGAGACTAGGGTCCTTGCTCCTCAGCTAGGAGGAGGCAGGGCAATGAAAGTCAAGCCACTCTTGAGCTCAAAGTTGCATTAGGTGGTCTTCTAAGCAAGTGATTTTCAACCATTTTCATCTCATGGCACATGTAAACTAATTACTAAAATTCTGTGGCACATCAAAAAATATATTTTTTGCCGATCTGACAAAAAATAGGTATAATTTTGATTCTTTCACACCGGATGGCTACTGTGTTCACTGTTGTCATTGTTTTTATTTTGACAATCTACAGGGAAAGAGGTCAGGGCCCCTGACTAAAGAGTCAGGTATTGCATGTTTTAAAAATTCTTGCTGCACACTGGTTGAAAATCACTGTTCTAAGTTGTTTCCAGCTCTATCCATCCATCAAGCATGGAACAGGCCAACAGATCTCAGAGGGAAGGCTGGAAGGAGGGCCGGAAGAGACTAACCAAAGAACTTAAAGCATATATGAATAGCCCATGGACACAGACAAAGGACAGGTGGGGGCCTGGGGAGAGGTGGGAAGATGGGTGGAGGGGGGGTAAGGAGGGGAAATGGGGGACATCTGTATTACTCTCAACAATAAAAAGAAAAATAAAGAATGATAGGAGGGAGGAAGTTATAATCATTTAGTGGTAACTGTTTCTTAAATGGTAGAAAGTTTTAATAAATTCTAATGGGTTTGTGGACTTGAGCCCTGCAATATATCATGGTTGTTGACTAAGGAGGGATGTTGTATCCTATTAATGTATGTACCGCATGTATTAGAAAGGCAACCCGCTGGAGTGGTATTTATGCTATGATTGTCACCAAAGCATAAAACTTATTACTCTAAGTCTATAAGCAAGTGGCCCAGTGCATGGCTCCTGTGTTTTTTCATATTTACTCCTTATTTTGAGCCACTAGTTCTTTACAACTTCTCCTCTTAGAACAATGGTCGCCATTTGACTGGGAGATCACACACTGGCACCTGAAGCAAATACATTCAGCAGAAAAATTGTGCATTTATTTCTGTCTCTTTTACTCTTCTGTGCTTTTCCTCTAATTAACTGGTCATATAACAAGTTGCTATCCTTAAAAGGCAAATCAAAGAACTAATGAGGCAACATCTGCCAAAAACCAAAAATCAAACACACAAAGAAAAAGCCCAAGTTTAATTTTACATGGTTCCTGAGCTATCAAATCCCTCCTTGTATAAAAGTCATTAGAAGGTAGGGGGTTGGGAAACTGGGTGAAAGAGGTGAAGGGACTAAGAAAATTGGTAGTCACAAAATAGTCATGGGGAAGTAAGTAGAGAATAGGAAATATAGTCACTAACACTGTAATAACTATATATGGTGACAGTTGGGGTACTGGAAACATCGAGAGGAACACTATGTAAAGTGTATGATTGTCTAACCACTAAGCCGTACACATGAAACCAATACAAAATAATACTGAAAGGAAAAAAAAGTTATCAGAAATGGAACTGACAGCAGTGCTGATGTGAAACTGGAAACTCATATTAATAGATAAATTCATTGTTCAGTATTTTGCATGTCCAGTCACTATTTGGTTCCACTAATGCACCCTGAACCAGGTCTGCTCCCCGTAGGAAAGAGTACCAGCATGCTCTTCGTCAGTTCAAAGAACAGGCCACTTTATGCGGGTTTTTTTTTTCTTCTCATTTCTTTATTTTACATTCACCTTGACCTCTGGGGAGTTGATACAAATTACATACCTGGCTACGGCTTCACTGTATACAAAACCAGCATCAGCTCGTTTTACGATTTCAAAACATAGATCCGCTCCATCCATACTGCAGAGAAATGTGAAAAAGAATGTAAGAAAAGAGGAAATTCCAGGATAACAACACGGGAAGGGAATACATTGTAACTAAGCTATTAGTTGATTTATAGCTAATGATTGTGATAAATTAGTTAAATCTCCTTTCTTTCAATGAAAATCGGACATAAATTGTAAAAAACATTATAACCATTTCAACACTGAAAATCTACAGGGAAAGAAACAGGAAGAACAAGCAAACGGTATCACCAAATAAGGTATGGAAAACTGACTATACATTTTCTTTAGGTTATCACAGCAAGAGGTTTCAGAAGCGGGCAATGCGGGGGATTATGGGCACATTTTTGAATCAAATTCTGAAATAATCTGTATCTACTCAAGTCATGTAATATTCTAAGAATACAAGAAGAATTCCAAAACATTTAGCTATAGTTATCATCACTAATTGGGAATTCAAGCTATATAACTGTGGAAGGAAAAAAAATTGGCTAATCCATAATTTATTTTTATTTACACTTCTATTACCAAAGTTAATTGCTACAAACATATTCTAACTCAGTGAGGTGTTGGTGACATAGTGTCACTTACCTTGCCCCCAAACTTAAAATGGTTCTCGATTTCTTACCAGATCAGTAAGGCCTCTTGTCTTGGCCACATCTTGCCTCTTCTACCTACCCTGTCTAGGGACTTCTCACGAATACCCCACTCTCTAGGCCCATTAGTCCTATCACTACTCCCTGAATATACCATTTTCTTTCTCTCTTTTTCTTTTTTTGCCACATGTTTCTACATATATTGCTTCTCATATTCAAAACCTACCTTAATTCAAGGTTCCATTCCCAATTCCACCTTCCCCCCAAAGTCCCCTAAATGATTACCAGCCACATTAAGTCCTTCTTTTGCTTAAATTTTATAACAACCCCGTATCATAATATTTAGCACTTACATACAAACATATATATGTGTATACATGAAATTTTTGCCAGATCATTACATACATTAATGAAATTATTTATATATTAATAGTCAGTTAACATTTTCATACTTTAAGGCTTATAAAGTGTTTTCAAATCTAGTACCTCATTCATTCATTTATTCAGTAGCTCAGGCTCTAACATATCTTTTGCAGGTATTATACTGAGGAAACAGAGAATTCTAGAAGGGAAAGTAAAGGAACTAACTGTTCATTACTATTACCAATAACTACTAAATAGTTATAATAATAACTAATAATCATTACTAATATTACCATTCATCAAGCATCATGGGAAACACTTCCTTGTTATATCTCCATTCTTACAATTATCCCATGAAGTCAGTATCCTTCTCATTCTCAAATAATTTGTCTAAGTGAGTAGACAAGTATGTGACAAAGACAGGATTCAAATCCCTGTCTATCTATGTTCAATGCTCTTCCCATTATCTGGAGGTATACCTACTGGGTGTGCAAGGACCAAATACGCATATTCAAGCTCAAGAGTTCAACAATAGCACAAAGTTCTAAAGAACTAGTATATTTCATATTTTCAATATACTCACCTCCAATACCCACCACACAGTAAATATTTAATGAATGCTTTATTATATTATTTAAATCTTTGTGTGTGTTTTTATCCTCACTCGAGAACATGTTTATTGATTTTAGAGAGAGAGAGGAATGGGGGGGGAGAGAGAAACATTAATATGAAACAGAAACATAGACTGGTTGTCTCCTCTACGTGCCCTGACTGGGGATTGAACCCACAACCTAGGTAAGTGCACTAACCAGGAATCAAACCCACATACCTTTTGGTGTACGGGACAACCCTCCAATCAACTGAACCACCCTGCTAGGGCTAATGTAAATGAAAATACTTTCACATTCATACAAGGCTTTACAAATTTCATCTAGTTTCCATTTCACAGCTCATAAACATTGTTGAATGTCAAACAGGATTCTTTGCAAAAATAATTCTTATAATGGTCTAGTCTACTCTGAAGTATAGCAGTGTTTATTTTCCACCATCAGAAATAAAGCCTAGATGAACATGACCATGCAGCTTTGTGAACAATCCTGATCACCTGCTATGGTTATTAGGTTAGGGGGCACATAAAATAAAGCCTGTGATACACACACTATTGGAAAAACTAGCAATCTATATGGCCACTACAGAGTGTGAAAGTGTCCTTCCTTCTATCTTGCCTCTACTAAGATGACTATTCTTTTTAATTTTGCCCATCATATAGGAGGGAAAAAAGTCATTCGAGATTGCTTTAATTTGCACTTCCTGGATTACTAGAGAGGTTGAATATTTTTCATTTCTTGTATTGTGGGGAGAAAAAAATACTATTTTTAAAGCTGGCTGCAGTTTATGCTGGTTGGCTGATCTATGAGAACTAAAAACACCTCACTGAAAGAAAAATCATAGTTTTGTTTAGGCATTTTCCTTCTTATCTGTGAAATGTGAGGATAAGCACCATTCAACTTAGATGAGAGAGAAGATAGTCAATGGAGGGAGCTAAACTGACTGCATCTATCGTAAAGCAATAAGAATATGGGAGCTGTCCTGTGAGCTAGAGGGAGGCTTCTGGAGGGACCTGGAATAAGGAAACAGAGTCTTCAGGGTAGAAGGAAGAGAGGCCAACCTAGGGAGGAAACCAGTCAGTGAGAAATAATTGAAAATTATTTACTGCACTGTGCTATAATTATTGGCATGGATCAATCCAATTTTTTCTGGTCATATCTGAAATACTAGCACTTGAAATTGCAATCTCTACACATGCACATACACACACAGCTATTTTTAGGTTTCTACTCTTTTCCACTGACTTGTCTACTCTTGTATCTAGTACCGTACCATTTTTAATAATAGTATATTTTAATATTTGGTAAAATAGGTCTCATTTCATTATTATTCTTTGGCAATATTCCCTTATGATTTTTTTCTTCCAGCTGAACTTTAAAATCAGTTTGTCAAAGGCTAAACATTTTTAATATTTTAGCTGAGATGGTACTATAATTATAGATTAACTTCTGGAAATTAACACTTTTCTAATATTCCCATCCATGAACATGATATGCCTCTCCAGTTCCTTTCTTGACTCTACGTTACGGTTTTAAGACTTTCTTCAAATTGGTTCCAAATACTAATTATTGGGTTTTTCCTCTGAGGCATTTTATATTTTTAGTCGCTATTATAAATGGGATCTTTTGGCCATTACATATTTTTTAATGTGATGGTTCATAAGCAGGAGTGCCAAAAACCACACACCTGTGTAACTTTTTAAATATGTAGGCATGTTCTGTGAGGGGTTAGTATGAAAGTAAGTCATCTCTGTGAAAGTTTCGGTGTTGTACTAATCTGGTTATTAATTAACAGGGAAGGAGCAGAGGGAAGACCAAATAACATAAGCATGCTACTTTACAGCTTTGCCAAAAAGCTGTATTTAACACCCTCTAAGTCTGTTCCCTGCTGATTGTTGGGAGAAGGGACTGGACAAAGGCAGTTTAAATGCATGCCTAGCAAGGTGTGAGTGATGTGGGAAGGTGCTTGCCCACCAATCATACCTGGCAGCAAGTCAGGGGCCAGGATGGCCGTGGCTACTGCAAGCGCGCAAAACCTGAATATTTAAACTTTTTTATTTTTAAATTTTTATTGTTGAAAGTATTACAAATGTCCCCTTTTCCCTCATTGATCCCCTCCACCCTGTACCCCTCCCCCAAGCCTTCACCCCACTACTGTCTGTCCATGGATTACGCATATATGCATGTAAGTTATTATGTTAATCTCTTCCCACCCCTGCCTTGCCTCTGAGATTCCTCAGTCTGTTCCATGCTTCTATGTCTCAGGATCTATTTTGTTCATTGATTTATTTTGTTCATTAGAGTCCACATATGAGTAAGATCATGTGACACTTCTCTTTCTCTGACTGGCTTATTTCTCTTAGCATAAGATTCTCCAGGACCCACCATGCTGTCTCATAGGGTGAGGGATCCTTCTTTATCAGAGCTGTATAGTATTCCATGGTGTAAATGTCTGAGAAGATGCTTGATATGATTTCAGTCTTCTTGAACTTGTAGAAACTTGTTTTGTGTCCTAACATGTGGTCTGTCTTTGAGAATGCCCCATGTGCACCTGAGGAGAATGCCTATTCTGCAGCTTTGGAGTGGAATGTTCCATAACTGTCAATTAAATCCATTTGAACTAGTGTATCATCTAGAGTCACTGTTTCCTTGTTGATTTTTTGTCTGGAAGATCTATCCAGTCAAGTCAGTGGGGTGTTAAAGTTCCCTACTGTGACTGTATTGCTGTCAATCTCTCCTTTAAAGTCCTACAGAAGTTTTTTGTTTTTCTCTCCAGCCTGCATGAGACCTTGGTTCTGAGGTGGGTGTGTTGCAGACAGCATGTATTTGGGTCTTGGTTTCTTATCCATTCAGCTACCCTATGTCTTCTGATTGGAACATTTAATCCATTAATATTTAATATTACTGATAGGTACTTATCTATTGCCATTTTATATCTTTTTGCCTATGTTTCTCATTCTGTCTATTTCAACTTATTAAAGCAGTCCCTTTAACATTTCTTGCAATGCTGGTTTGGTGGTGACAAGTTCCTTTAGCCTTTTTTTTGTCTCGAAAGCTCTTAAATTTCACCATCTATTTTGTTTTTTGTTTGCTTTATTACTGTTCAAAATATTACAGATGTCCCCTTTTCTCCCCATTGACCCCTTCCACCCCACACTCACCCTGCTCTCCAGTCCCAGTTGGTTCCATTCTGAAGGAGTGAAATGAGAGGGAGAAGAAATTCTGCTATGGACCAGTATGGGGAGTGTTTCCATAATATATGCGGAGAAAAACTATGGGAGGTTTACTTTGAATTGTGAAAAGTGGTGGGATTATGAATGATCTTAGCCATTTCTCCCTTTTGTCTATTTGAACTAAAATTTTAAAATAATAAACATGCATTATTTATATGATTAAAAAATTATTGAAAAACAAATGCATGAAAAAAACCAAACTAGATCACAGGTCTA